TGGTGGCAGGGGAGCCTGGAGCTGTATTTCCTTAGTCCCCCCCTCCCAGGAAAGGAGACTCCTAAGTGAGGACAGCTAAATTGCCATCACTTGGAGAAACTGAGATAGGAAAGAATAAACTCAGCAATATTTCTTCCACTCCCAAGTGTGCAAACTACCTCACACTCCTCCCATTATCTGAGAAGACAAGGCTGAACACGTTTCAGGACCACATAAAACACGATTCACGTGGGGACAGCAGGATCAGCGTCCTGGGGAGGCCTCTGGGGAAAGACCCACGGGCCACCTCACTAACGGAGAATTTGGGTGTAGGACAGCAGAGGAGGGCACCACAGAGGCGAACGATAGGGAGTGGGGCTGGGGGAGGCAACACGGAAGTCCAGGAAGGACAAGACGTTGCCCCAGGGAAGAAATGTAATCTTAGCACACCTGGGCCTAGGAGCCAAGAATTCCTTCACAGTCACAACAATGAAACACTCTAAATTTTCAAGATTTAACATCACTCTACAGAGAAGCAAGGCTTGTTTATGGTTATAGGGCCTCAAAGAGGGTGGGGTGGGGGAGAGCAGACTGCCTAGAGTTAAAGGGAAGAGGAAGGAAGCCTGGGGCTGTGCCGCCGTGCCCGTAGGCAGAAGCACGAGGACGGGGCAGACGTTGGAGTCAGCGGAGCCCTTGCACTGGAAGTTGCCTGAGCCCCGATCTGTGAAATCAGCTTCCGTTTCCCTTGCTGGGCCCGTCCACGAGTGGCTTGGATTTTCTGTCCCAGAAGCCTGGCTACTCCGACTTGGGGCCACCACACCCGCCCTCCCTCCCTTCTGCTTTGGGTCTCCCCTAGCTGCTCCACTTCCTGCCATTTGTCCCTTGACCTGCTCCAGCCTTCAGAGTTTGGCCGAGCGTAGACTTCCTGAGCATTTGGACCCTTTGATCCCCCTGAGCCAGGAACAGAGACCAGCAGAGGCTGGGCAGGGCCGTGGTGGCCACAAGGGGACCACTCAGCAGTGTGAGTGGAGTGGCAGGCCATAAATCCTCAGGGGAACAAAGGCAGTGGTCAGCCTGCAGATGTCCAGGCCCTGATGAGCAATCTGCCTGAGACACTGAGAGGATCTCCTTTTGGCTTGGAAATAAAGGAGACAGGTGGCCTTGGGGTTAGAGGGTGAAGAGAAAAGCCGGTAAGTCCTGGAAGGTGCTTGGTTCCGCGGGCAGCCGCCTCTGAGGGTGGTGTGCAGAGCTGGCCGTCACCAAGACTGGCCAGGACTTTGTCTGGTCCTGCATCAGCACCTGGCAGGAGACAGCTGGCTTTCCAGAGGTGGGGTGTGGTGTCCAGGATCGTTCACCCCTCGGCTCCAGTCCCAGCCTCCACCTCTGCAGCCAGGTCTCCTGAGACTCGATTGGTGTAGAAAGGGCTGGGATGGGGGCTGGGGCCTGAAGTGTGTATCGTCCCTGACAGGGACACAAAGCATCTCTGCGTGGCAGGCGCTGACTCCTGTCTTCAGCACTGTGGTCAGCACACAAGCAGCCAGCCCAGCTGCTGCAGAGGAGGGCAGGAGGGGACAGAGCATCTGCATCACGGAAAGCACTCCGGACCTGCAGGGTGTGGACAGAAGGGAGGGCGACCTAGAAGGGTTCAGGCAAGAAGCTAACTGTCCCAGGGAAGCCTTGGGGAGGCTCGGGAATCAAAGACTCCCCAATGCAGAACTTTCGGAGTTCTTTTGTAAAAGTTCTGTCGGTTATCTTTCATCTCCAGCCGTTTCTTGACTGTGCTATATTAAACGCACACACAGGGCTGGCTGCAGCTCAGCAGCAGAGCCTGTGCTCAGCACGTGTGAGGCCCCAGGCTGGATCCCCAGCAACACAAATCAAACAAGCAAAGTGCACATACAAGTGAAAATAAAAATATACCTGCTTTATTTACCAATTTTCTAAAAGGCAAAAAAGTCATAAAAAGACACAAGCAGTCACACAAATATATTGCACTGGGTGAAGGAAGTTTGGTTTGTCCGGCAAGGCTCAACAAATCGTTACACAAAGTCTGAGAGCTTATTTATGTATCTTGTCAGGAATATATTAAAAGAAGGCTCAGTTTAAATAGAGAAAACATTGTATGACACCCGTGTAAGCACATATATCAAAGAAAACAGGACCTGGTGCTTGGCAGCATGTAAACAGATTCACAACATTATTCTATTAAGTCAGCTTCTTAGCAATTAACAATCAATGAGCATATATTAAATAATAAAATAATGCTGAGGGTAAACATTCATGACAGTAGAGAACATTTTGGCAGTTTTGTCTCTAAGTAAGGTAAATGTAACCTTGGGCTGTCATTTACCCCTTAAGGTCTGGCTGTAGAGGCCGGCAGCAGTCTGTAACATCTAACTTCCATAAAAGCGTGAGTTCCTACCTTATCTTGGGCATCTTCAGGTGATGTTGCTTTGTAAATTAAAAAATGAAGCATTCTTCACTCAGGAGGCTGAGGCAGGAGGATCACTGTGTTCGAGGCCAGCCTGAGATACACAGTGAGCTCAAGGCCCCCCTGAACTACATAGCAAGACCCTGTCTCAAAAAACCAAAAACCAAAAAAACAAAAAAAAAATTCTTGCATTTATAAAAAGTAGGATTAATATTGAGGCGTGAAGTGGTTTACTGTGAAAACCAGCTGTGGACAAGGAGTCACTGCCCTTCTCGAAGCCATGTCTCTGCCAAGGGATAGGACAGCCTGTTTCCTTTCCAGCGCCAGGAACTCTGGAAGCTTTAAGCAAGGTGGCCTGGGCTGGTGCCTCCTCCTTCACACCAGGCACCAACGTCAGGCTTTCCAGAACAATCTCCAGGACGTCCGGTGCAGTGTGCGGTTTGGTAAAGCTGGGCAGGGTGGCCTCCTTCTCCCTGGGTTCAGATGACCTAAATGCCAACAGCACTGACCGGTGCCAGGACGGAGCTGCACACCGTGGCTGGGCTCACAACATAAGGGCCAACAGCCTGTCCACGTGCAGGGAGGGGTGAGTGCAAGGGACCCTGGTAGCCATAGGTGCAGTTGGAGCTGCAGCCGCAGGCTCACAGCCGGCACGGGCTGCTCTCTGCGAAAGCAGTGCCGGCTCTGCTGGGCTGGAGCCGGTGTCTGAGGCTCTGACTGAGGAACAAGCACAGCAGAGCCCCTAATGCTGTGGGCAGAGCCCGGTTCGCAGAGGGAGCTCACCGTGAAGACAGGACCCAGCTGATAACGTGTTCTTCTCTACATGGTGGCCAGGATGGTCTAAAAGAGATACGAGAGTGGTGTAGAAATATTCAGAGGGTCGGTGTGGGCATTAGTCCCATGGAATTGGTCACACAAACCCCTAGGCTTCGTCGTCCAGAGTCAAAACAAAAAGCCGTGTCACAGCGGGAGGTTTTATCCAACAGGACTGGAGGCAAAGGCTGAGCGATCACACTGCTGCACACGCGTCCAAGGACACTCTGGAAGGAGGTCAGGAGCAGCTGAGTCCTGGCGGACACCTGAATGGATGAATGACAACTTCGGTAGACACAGTCCTGGGGGGGCAGAGATTTGACCCAAACTAAACACACTGTGGAAAGCTTCGAAAGTAGCAGGCTTCAGCTCAAGGCTGCACGCGGCCTCCTGGAGATTTGTCACAGCCTGGCCTGATGTCTTGGGACATCCTTCAGGGGCTGGCAGGTGCTGGCACCTGGATGGAAGTCCGGTCACAGCAGGGGGCGTCTGAGGGCACTGGAGCCACTTCCCTGACGCTCACGAAGAGGACTCTGTCCCCTCAAGTTCTACAGCAACCCAAGTGTTCACCCATCCCCAAAACTCCGTGTCTATATTTTAAATACAAAAATGTGTTTTCGTATAAACCCTTCCCTCTACACAGCCTGAAGTCACCCCTTCAGAGAACAGAGTTTTCTCTAAAACAAACGAACAAACAAAAAAAGCAACGTAAGTAAATATGTCCATTTCATTGGAAACAATCACGAGGGTCTTCTGTGTCTCCCGAGCACCATCTCATGTGGCTCACGCTGTCACACGGGCTACGTCTGCTTGTCCTTCTTGTGACCCGGGGGGCACCCTTTCCCCTCCTCTTTGGTGTCTAAGGCAGTGCTGAGTCCCAAGGACGGAATGTCCTCCTCACACGGCACGCACAAGCTGCCTTTCTCCTCGCTCTCACAGTAAACACACTCCTGAGAGGAAGAAAGCGGACATCGTGAGGCACCCGGGACCTGGTATCTGGGTTGCGGTCGTTCAGTGTGAGTAAGGCCATAGGCAGGAGGACTGCAAGGACAAGGCCAGCCTGGGCAACTTAGGGAGACTCTGTCCGAAGTGAAATTTATTGTTTTTCATCCTTTTCAGTATGGGGGATTGAACTCTGGCCCTGTGCCCTGAGCTACATCCTTAGCTCTTTTCAATCTTTAACAAAAAAAAATTTTTTTGGGGGGTGCTGGCGATCAAACCTAGGGTCTTGTGCAAGCAAGGCAAGAACTCTACTATTGAGTCCCCTCCGCAGATTCCTCCAAATTTTTTTTTCTGAGAGAGAGTCTTACTGTGTAGTTCAACCTAGTCTTGAACTCATGGCAATCGCCTTGCCTCAGCCTCCCGAGCGCTGGGATTACAGGTGTGCACCACCGTGCCTGGCTTTAAAATGAAATTTTAAAAAGGGAGCTCAGTGGTCCCTGAAATTTTATTTTATTTTATTTTTTATGTTTTATTTTTTTCCCCAGTACTGGGAATCGAACTCATGACCTTGTGCTTGCCAGGCAGGCACTGTACCGCTGAGCTAAATCCCCAGCCCCTGGTCCCTGAAATTTTAGAAAGGGAGCTCAGTTCAAGGTGCTGGTGGCTGATGCCAGCTGTCAGAGCTGTGAGGGTGCTGGCAACAGAGGCACAGCCAGAGCCAGGGAGCTGGATTCTGGAGAGTAGAGGGGTATGGAGCTACACCGGAAGTGCTCGTAGCCCACTGCAGACAGACATGCTGCGCTAGCTGAACAAGGTGAGCCAGCACGTGCGACCGGACCGGCTTTTGGGAAAGAGCAGAGGAGACCGCGGAGGCTTCCCCGCCGAGCCCCTCCCTCCCCGCCTCCCCTACGTGAGCGAACTCAGGAAGCCTGTGACCTCTGAGAAGGGCATACAGGCACCACGGCCTCCTCATTCTCACTGCCTTGTCACGAGACACCCAAGGCCCTGCGGCAAGGAACTGAGGGCTCGGGCTGGCAGCCAGGACCCCAGGATCCCCGGCCCTGCTGCCACCCGCGTCACACAGAACCTGCGCCGGGACCACCCGCTGAGCTGCTCCCCAACTCCTGACTCGGGGTCTGTGATGCATGAGCACCGTGTGGAGCCCGCGGGCCCTGGGGTCACGCGCTGTGCCGCGCAGGTAGTACAGAGGCAAGCGAGAAGGGCTCGAAGGAAGCTGGAGCGAGGGAACGGGTTCCCAGCAGAGGAAGGGCGCGCAGGCTTCCTGCGGCAGGTGCCTACCCAGAAGTCAGGAGCCAGAGCACAGGCCGGCAGGGGTGGAGTGGAGGAGAACAGGGAGGAGACAGTAGGTGCAGCTGTGGATTTTGACTGTGATGGGATGTGGCTGGAAGGGATCTGGGGTGAGAGGTGCTGCAGTTTCACTGTGGCGGGCACAGGGAGCAGCAGGCGGCCAGGAGGCCATGCTGGGGTGCAGGTGAGGTGCCTTCCTGTGGGCTGGGGTGCTGGGGGCGGCTGGTTCTGTCTGCCCCAAGGCTGAGCACTCCACGCTGCCAGCATCGGACTGCTAGAGAGGAGAGTGCAGGACGGCTCCACGGCCAGAGCACCGGGGAGAAGGGGCCCCCGCGTGAGGTCTGAGGAGGGGCAGGGGCTTCCTCTGAGCATAACTAGGAGCTGGATTCCTCAGGGAACCGGGCATGCTGGTGCACACCTGTAATCCCAGGCCTCTGGGAGGCAGAGAAGGGAGGATCAAAAGTTGAGTCCAGCCAGGGCAACTGAGCGAGACCCTGTCTCAAAATAAAGATTAAAAAAGGGTTGAGACACAGCTCAGAAAAAGGCTCTGGTTCAAACCCCAGTTCCAAAAAAAAAAAAAAAAATTCTTCACAGGGTGCAGGGCCGAAGATGGACGTCACATGTCACAGAATGTGTGAACACCCCAAGAAGTCGTGCCCAGGAGGGGAGTCCAGACAGAGAGGAGGCCACGGAGAGCCAGAGGCCAGGGAGACACAGCAGTACAGGATGGGAAGCCGCTGTCACTGGCCTGCAGGTGGCCTGAGCAAGATCATCACCGTCAGCGGCTGGAGACCTGGGACCATGACAAGGGCAGCTCTGGCTGTGGCATGGTGCGGTGCAGCTGCCCGGTGCCAGGAGAGAGCGCCCGGCCGGGGCACTTGTGGTTTGAACTCTCAGGAGAGGGGCAGCACAGGAATGGCCTTGAGGGTTTTGCTGACAGGAAAGGGGTTTGGATTTTTTTTTCTTTTTTTTTTTTTGCGGTACCGAGGATCAAACTCAGGACCTTGCGCTTGCCAGGCAGGCACTTGTGCCACTGAGCTAAATCCCCAGCCCGGGGTTTGGACTTGTTAGGTAGGAAACAGAACTGAAGAAAGGGGCAAAGCCTCACATTTCAGCGAGCCCGTGAGTGCCACCCTTCCGTGTGTGCGAGGATGCTCTTTGCAGGGGCTTACACTTCAGAGCCCTTTCCTTTTGTAAAATAAATGCTAAGATGTTTCAACTTCCGGGGCATTGTGGAGACAGTACAGCACAGCACAGCACAGTACAGACAATCCCCGCTGTGAGACGCTGGCATGGCCGTCTGAGATGGGGGCCCTAGCTTACCGTCACGTCGATAGCCGCAGGCAGGCCGCCCGTCTGTACCCATGGGTGCACCTCGCACAGCTCCCGCCTCTGGTCCTCTGAGAAGCGGGGCTGAGACTTCTGCAGCAGCTGCAGCTTCTCTCTGTCCTCCTTCAGCACCGACTCCACATCCCTTCCCAGAGAGGAGGGCAGGTGAGCTTCAGATGGACTTATTTTCTACCCACTTTCAACATCATAACGTAGTCTTGGGAGATTTTGTTTCGTGCAAATTTCCTTTTGTTTAAGATCAATTATCTTGCTTATTTATCTAGTGAGACAGGTCTCACTATGCAGTTCAGGCTGGCCTTGAACTCACATCGATCCTTTTGCCTCAGCCTCCCCAGTGCTGGGGTCACAGGTGTGTGCCACCACACACGGGAATTCCCCTTGTTTAAAGTCAGTCTCCCTAGTGACTATCTACAGTCTTTCTGTTAAAAGGAGAATCTGGGTCAAGGTTTCGGTTTCCCTTTAAACCAGATGTGTTGCTGGGTATCGGCCAGTGCACCTGCCCCTGGCATAGCAGGTTAAGCTGGGGGACTCTGACCACCCCTGCCTGGCCACGCCAACACCGGCCTGTAGTGCCCCTCCGAGAGACAGACCTGAGTCTCCCCCGACTGACAGGACCCTGGCCTCCTGCCTTCCCTGCCTTGCAGCCCCCACTGTGGGGGTGCATGGGGTCCTCGGCAGAGGCAATGGAGGTGGGGACCTTCAACTCCTCGGCAGCCAGAGGGACAGACACCCCATTGTGCAGCAGAGCACAGAGCTGTCACGGGACTCAGGCTTGGGGCCAGGCAGGCGCTGCTGCAGCTCACTCGGCCGCACTGCAGGTCCTGGGGGAGCCCTGCTTCCCCTCTCACGCCCGCTGAGTCTGTGTATGACACGGCCTCCTGGGGTGCCTGACCATTCCAAGGATGACCTCCTGCTCTGGAACTCCTCACCCCAGCTCTTCCTGGGCCCCAGGGGAACCCCGAGCAGTTACCGGGAGGGCAGCTGGTACGTCATCATGACGCTGTCGTCAGCGTCCGCCATCAGCAGCCAGATGGGGTCCTGCAGGACGTACTTGATGAGATGCCTGCTCTCCTCCATGTCCGTGTTCACGTGTGCTTTGTGGTTGTTCTCGGAGGAGTCAACGCTTCCAAAGTACTTGCTGGTGTGACTTGTGTCACTGCTGCCTGTGGAAACACGACTGCAGCACATCAAAACCACGGTGGAGCAAAGGAGCCCAGCGTGGGTGCTTATGTGGTCACAATGCGGAGAGCCGGGGTTCTGTCAGGTGACGGGGCATGTGCGGTGGATCCTCCCCTCTTTCAGTGCCTAAAGGACCCAGATGATTCGAAGGTGGAGATCCGCCACCCTCGGGGAGGGGATCCTCGCCTAGGGCCCTCAGCTTGGTGCTGGACTCTCAGAGCCCTGCCCTTGCCTCCAAGCGCACACTGGCTGCAGCTGTGGGGCAGAGCTATATCAAAGCCTGTGAAGAAGCGCAGTGTCCTACGTGGAGGAGCAGCCCGCAGTGCCCCCTTGGGGCTGGGCACAGGCCTGGAGCCCAGGGGACAGGGAGCTGAGGTCTGAGCAGGGCATGTGCGACTCAGCCGCACAGCGGTGTGTGTTATCAGCGAGGTGATGGGCAGTAAAGGCTTGTCCGTGGGCGTACATTTGCAGAAGCCGGCTAAGTCAGGAGGGTGAACTGCTGCCAGGAGTCTAGGGGCTGACCCAACAAGGGCTGCCGGGGCTGAGGTCTGCGGTGACACTGAACCCAGAAGTAAAGAGGTAAGCTGTGGAACTGATGGCCCGGCCCTGCGTGTGCCCAGGACATGGGCAGGGCACACGCCTACATGTGTGTACCACTGGAGAGCGGCAGGGTGATGCACCCCTGAGCGCAGGCGCTGGCTATGATTCCGGTGCCAACCCGCGGCCCAGGACCCCCGTACCTGCCCCACTTCGGGATGCCTCGCAGCCCAGTGAGCTGGAGCCTAGGGAGTCCGAGGTGGCAGAGGCCCCGCTCCCAGACAGCGCTGACCCCGTGGCCGAGCAGAGGTCCTCATTCAGCAGGAGGTTGAGCAGGTCACTGGACGTGGAGAGGGCGTCGCTGTTCTGAGCGTCTGAGGGGTCGTCGTGCTTTGGGCACAGGGAGAAGACAGCAGCGTTTGTGAGGACTCGGTCCCACACACTGCCACACTGAGGGGGCCAGAGGTTGTGGGACTAGGTGAGCGATTTGCTGAAGCCATCTAATCACGTAGGAGTTGGGGACAGTCCCACCACGTTGTGGGCTTGGGCTCTGCGAACAACCTATGAGTCCGTGGTTTCGTGGACAGCAGACGTGGAACAGGGGAAGGCTGGCCACGCCTGGGACGCTCCTCATGGTGCCCAAGGCCCAGTACCCTGGGACCAAGGCTTGGGGGCACCCCTGCCCTAGGGTCCTTGGAGACCTGGAGGGCAGGCCAGAGACCTCAGAAACGGGACCCCACAGGGTGGGAGACGCCTGGAGAGCCAGTGTGTAGTTACACCCCGCTGACGCGGCGGCACAGCAAGCTCCCTGGGAAGCACACTAATGCAGCAGAGTGCCGCACCAGGGTGCTCAAGGCCTGGGGCACGGACCCTGGGGCCACGCTGCCCTTCCGTTCCCTTCCTGCCTTGGAGCCAGGCTCTGCGCCATCTCACTCCAAGAAGGCTGAGGCTGGTATTGACCGACTGTGTTTTTTCCTGGAGGACTCACTGAAACGCCCAGGCCCATAAGCCCTCTCCAACGTGTGCTGCTGCCTGGACTGCCCTGACACAGGCAGCCTATCACCCTGTGCTGGGATCCCAAGGGGACCAAGCTGACAGCCGACTCTGACAGCTGTGCGGCTGGGAAACACTTAACATCCAGCACCGATATAGTTGGGAGGAGCCTCAGTGCACCCAGATGCCCCCACCTGCACCTGCCTTGGAGAAAGAGCCCCAGGAACCCTTACTGTTGGAGGCGCCTTGGGCGGCCAGTCCCGAGCAGGTGTGCAGTCCGGGCCAGCTGACACCGTCGCTGTGGCCCCTGCGCTGCCCTCGGGAGCCTCCTCCAGCTGCAGCAGATTGAGCTGCAGGGGCGAGCTGCCCCGTGACTGGAAGAGCGGTGGGGAGACCCTGCCCGTGGCCACCGTGGCTGACGGTGGGGTGGCAGGGGTGGCCGGGCAGGAGCACGGCTGCCGGGGGAGGGAGGTCTGACTGGGGAACTCAGGCTGGGAGGCAGGGGTCATCTCGCAAGGGGGTGTGGGGTGGCCCGGATAGAAGGCCTGGGGCAGGCTTGCGGGGGCTGGGAAGGGGTAGCTAGGGAGCATGAAGGCCACCACAGGTGCCATGGGGGTGGGGAAAGCCAGGGGCTGCACTGCAAACTCGTGCTGGCTGCCCATGGCCACAGCGGGCACTGCGAAGCCAGGGTGGGGCACTGCTGGCGGTGACGCCACGGTGCCTGGCGCTGGCACTATTCCTGGGAACACGGGCAGGGAGTAAGAGGGCACAGGGGCAGGGAAGGGCACTGCGGGGCAGCTGGACTGAGACGTGTCCGAGGGTGACCAGGCGGTGGTGTTCAGGCCCACGAGCGGGGGCCGCTGGGGCGGGGGCCCCCCAGACCCCGTGCTCTCAGAGGAGTCCCGAGGCTTGGCCCGTTTGGACTTCAGTTTTCTGTTCTTGCCAGTTCTTTTCCAAGAATCCATTCCAGAAGCATTTCTTAGTCCAGGAGCCGCTGAAATGTGGAAAATCCGCCAGAGTTAAAATTAAAAATTTATGTGGTTTTGTCAACTCCCCAAGATTCACAGGACGGTGGAAACTGGGGCCCCTCTTAACTGCGGAGCTGCACTACTCCCTCCTTCCTCCTGGCAGCACCATGCCTTTCTTTTAGGGCAAGCAGTATTAGAAGGGCTCTATTCGTCCCAAATAAAAATAAAGACAGTTAAAAACCAGGCAAGTCTCCATTGTTTCCCAAGACCTGGACAAAAATTTTGGTTTGTGAAACCTGGACAATCGAACCACAAGCCTTGTCTAACTTCCTCATCTTTGACAAGTTTGATCACTGCTGTTCTCACGGAGGCGTTTCCGGTTTCACGGTCAGAGCCTGAGCACAGCCAAAGCTCAGAGGATGTCTCCGGCGTGGATCCCACGTTCCCCAAAGGCCCTTTGCTGGAAGCTCAGTCCCAGGTCCTGCCAGAGCCTCTCGGGGGCAGGGCCCAGTGGGGAAGTGCGGCCACTGGGGACCGCAGCCCTCAGCCTCCCTCTCTCTGCTTCCCGGCTGCAGTGAGGTAAGCATCTGTTCCAGTACACATTCCGGCTGTTCTGCCTCACCCCAGGCCCAAAGCAACGGAGTCAAGGGGCAGAAACCATGAGCCAGAATAGACCTTTCCTCTTACAAGCTGGATCTCAGGTGTTTTGTCATAGTGATGGAAAGCTGACGGTCACATCTGCCCCTAGAACCACACTCCTTTCTGATGGCAGGCGCTGTTGAGAAAAGGCTTTTGCCAGGAGGATGAGGGGCTGAACCTTAATGGAAGGGACTGTGGGTGTGTCCTCAGTGCCCCTCAGGGGGCCTCAGGGACCTGTTTCCCTCTCCCTCAGGCACAGTAACTTGAGCCTTGGGCAGAAGCTACGTGGGATGTCTCCTGTCCATAGGACCAGGGGGTTCTGCAGCTCTGTTACGACTGAAGGCAAACAGGCAGCCCAGCTGTCATGATTTAGATCTGAAGTGGCCCCCAGATCTCAGGTGTGAGGAAGGTGACCGGACTGCGGGGCACTATACTCCTCAGTGGATCCGTCCAGAGTTCCACAGCCGAATGTGCCGCTAGAAGGAGGGGCCCACGCGGAGTGGTCACTGGGACACGACCTGGAAGGGGGTACTCTTGCCCCCAGCCCCTCCCTTCTCCCTGCTTCCTGGCTGCCATGGGGCGAGCAGCTTTTCCTGTCCAGGCCCCTCTGCCATCTTGGTCCAGTCTTGGAGCCAGCCCGCCATGGACTGAAGCTGTGAGCCCAGATAACCTCTCCTCCTTCAAGCTGTGGTGTTGTGTGTCTGTCCCAGTGACGAGGGGGTGACTGAGACCAGGCCTGCTGCTCTGTGAGTGGAGCTTTGAGACTCAGCCTCTGTTCGGCAGTTTTCCTGCTAGAAACCTGCCTCCCGGAGGGACTGTGTCTCAAGCGCTGGGGCCCCTAGGTGCGACATCCAGGTCTGGGCAGGATGGTCCTAAGCAGCTGTACAGTCTGTACACAGGCCGCTGGGTGTGGGGGCTGGGGCTCTGCACCGCGCTGGGCCCGCTAGGCATCCGGGGGCTGGGGCTCTGCACCGCGCTGGGCCCGCTAGGGATCCGGGGCCTGGGGAGCGTCTTTTTCCCATCGCCACAGAGGTTCTCATGGGCTCTCAGTAAGCTCGAGTGGGGAAGAAGGAAAACAAAGATCAGAAGAGACCAAGCCTGTCGCAGCTCTGCAGCAGAGTGTTTGCTTAGCATGCCCAAGGCCCTGGCTTCGAGCCCCAGCACCCACAACAAAACAATAGGAAGGGAAAAGATGTAGCCCTTCAGGAGGCTGCAGCTCCTCTGCACCTCGCGGATGTTCCCTCGGTGTCGGCTCGAGGCCCAGGGGGTGTGGTCTGGGTGTGCCCTGGGCTCACTGATTGTGAGCCGAGAGCTGAGGGAGGAAGTGGCATCTCTGGCCAGGCAGCCACCTGTGTGGGGTCCCGGCAGGAGCCTGGGGCAGGGGCAGGGGCAGGGGCCCATCCATGGGGTGTTGGCGGGAGGTGGGAGTCACAGCCTGGGCCTTGCAGGTGGCTGGGATAAGGCTCTTGGATCAGAAAGCAGGTAGAGAAGGTGGATTATTTTGGTTCACTCCTTAACTTCAAGCACCCACAGGCTTCTGGCCTGAAAGGTACCTTTGTGCACCTCTGGGGTCTGCAGTGCTGGCTTGCGGCCAGCCCGGCTGGGGAGAAGGGCAGGCCTTGCTCCCTGAGTCCTCCGGGGTCTCCTGACAAACTGCCCGCCAGCACCGTGTTCATGCCTTCAGGCGGAACATGCTGCTTCTCCCAGGGTCCTGTCTGGAGGCCAGGTGGGGTCCCCGCCCTCAGGAAGTTCCCCAGCGAGGAAGGTGAGGCAGCCCGGCTACGGCCGACGGGCATTCTCCAGGGCTGGCCTGAGACTGTGTCCTTTTCACAGCGCCATTCCCTTGGGGACAAGAGGTTGCATCCCTGAAAAGTCCTCAGGCTACAAGGCCCTACAGAATCAGCCAAGGGCTACGTGTCACCAAGGGCTACGTGATGCACAGACTCGTCCGGGCTGGGGACATGTTGGGTCCTAAGACCAGCTGGACTCAGACCGTCCAGAAAAATGCTCTGGAATCCCTAGCTGGATTGACGCCACCACTCACCACGCTCGCTCAGCTGCCCCCGAGACCTCTCCTGCAGGTACTGGCAGTGGGCCTGCAGGATGTCCAGCCGCCGCACCTCCCGGAACTTCTGCAGGAAGCTCTGCTCCTCCTTCTGCGTGTGCGAGGCCAGCACCTCCTTGGTGAGGCCCAGCTTCTGCAGAGGCCCCTTCTCCTGGCCGAGGGCACCCGGAAGGCAGTCCAGGGACTCAGGCCCGCTGGCCGTGTCCTCCACCGTCTCTGTGAGAAGAAAGCACCCCTTCGCGGTCACCCACCCTGCGCTCACGGACGGCATAGATCAGGTGCTCACAGAGGAGGGAGTGGGCCTTCCTCTGGCTTCCTGAGGAAGCTCACAGTAAGGGGCGAGAGCAGAGCCCGGCCCCCATGCTCAGGACTCAGAACCTTCTCAGCAAGTGGGCTCAGGGAGATGCCCAGGCTGGCCTTGGCACCGAGAACAGACAGCAGGGTCGGGGCTGGTCTGTCTGGACTCGGGACCAGGCCTGGTGGCGGCTGTGACCACATGGCCTACGGGGGCGCACGGGGCGGGGCAGGGGGCCGCTGTGCCCGAGTGGGGACAGAACCTCTGACAGGCACCGTGCTCCTTCTCAGCTCCTCTCCCGGCAAGGCCCACATTCAAGGTGCGTTTTCCCGAGTTTCCTGAGGAGCAGGACACTCAGCTGAGAATGCCCGGGGCCGGAAGTCTCATCAAGACCCGCACTGGCTCCCGTCTGTCACCAGGAGCAAAGGCGGGGCGGAAGGCAGGCCCTGGCCCACCCGGGGTGCCAGGAGGGGGACTGGGTCCCAGTGCTGTCACCGCACTGCCGAGGGGCAGGCGTGCTGGGCCCCCGCTGGCGGCACCCCCTGCATTCTGGGAAATGGGGTTTCCAGGGCCCTCCTCCTGGGTTACAGCAGGGCTCCTCTGAGAAGCGTAGCTGAAAGTTTAAGATGGCAGTGAAGCGTCTCATCGTTACTTATAAGATCGGCTCTCCCCCGACACTCACAGGAACCTGCCGCATACCTAGTTCTGGCTGCGGCTTTTTGTCCCCGACGTGGACGATCGTGCTGCTGTAACTGCACTGGCTGGTGAGGGACACCACGCTCTCAGCCTTGCCGGGCAGCGCCAGTGAGCTTAGGCGGGCGCTCACTTCCGCATGGCTGCTCACCTTGGAGGGTGCCGTTGCCTCTGTGGGAGAGGGTGGGAGCACACCCGGACAGCGTCAGGACAAACTGTTCAGCTGCGGAACGAGGTGCGGGTCCCCACGCAGGCCCCCACGCAGGCCCCATGCCGGGCCGCAGCCCCCACCCCTGGACACTTGGGCCTGGCCTGTGCGCAGGACAAACGCGGTGAAGGGAACTCTAAAGCAGGAACAATTTCGCACTTAGGCCCCAAGTCCCGAGTGGGGCACAGCAGCTGGGCGGCTGGGGGCTGTCTGCACCCACAGCCCCCTGGTGGCCTGCAGCAAGGGACTTCTCCCACAAGCAAGAGGTGGCAGTAACAGCAAGCAGTGTGCCTCTCTGTACATGACTCCCAGTCTCTCGTGCGCTGTTCGGCGGGATTGTGGGTGACGCCGGCAACACAGCCCAGGGCGTTCACCTGACCCAGGGGCATGCTGACACACAGGCACGGGGCTGCCCTTGGGCGACAATGCAGAGCCGCACGGCTACGGCAGTGGGCTCAGGTGTCCCCGGGCCTCCTGCAGCCGGAACAGATTCCTGTTCCAATGCCCAGTGTTCCAGGAACCTGACTTCTAGCTTGTAAAATGCTGCTGACCCCAAGCTACTTTGATCTTTTTAAAAATAGTGACAGCCTTATTCTGTACCCGTGAACTGGTGGGACCAGTACGGGAGGGAAGGCATAGGCTTTAAATTGGGATGTGACCCCTGGCGGGGCAGCAAGCTTGCTGGACAGCTCAGAGCAGGCAGGGTACCTCCGGCGTGCAGCCCGGGGCTGACTGTGGCCTTTCGGGACGGGATGTTTGCAGGGAACTCGCACTTCCTCTTCAGGGTCGAGGCCTCACTGCAACTCTCCAAGTACCTGTATGCAGGGCAGTCTTCAGCAGGCGGGAGCTGTGGGCAGCACCCCCCAGCGGGGAAGGTGGGAAGTGGCTTGGTACCTGATGACACCGTCCAGACAGCTGATCTGCTGATAGGAGCAGGCAGGCTGGTCCTTGCAAGCCAGCTCATCGGGGAAACCGGCCTTGAGCAAGCTGGTCCCCGAGCTGTCCTTCTCTGCAACAGGCACAGCTTTCACCTGAGCCAGGGCACTACTTTGCATTTCTGAAAAACAAAACAACACAACACAACAGTTCTTTCATTGAATACCTGCTTCCAGAGGCACACTGTGCTCACGAAGTGTTTACTTCAACCAGTGGCAAGGCCGGGACAGAGTGTGCGCACACAGACTGCACGAGCAGTGACAGCTGGGCACCTAGGAGCCAGGGCAGCGAACACCAGGCTGCCCTGCAGAGGGAGCTCAGAGGAGCCACGCCTGGCCAGGCCTGCTTCTCTCTGGGGTTCAGGGCTTAGAAAGGGAAAGGCCAGGCCTTGGATGAACTCTAAATTTAGGGGCCAACAAGATCCCAGGGGGCTTATGCTGCATTTTCACACAGAACCTTTGCAGGAAGGCTTATACTGCGACAGCCACCTGGGCTGCATGCTGCAGCTTCTGGGCTGTCCCCACCATGGATACCACCTGCCTGCTGCCCTGCAGCCTGCAAGCAGGGCGCCGTGTCCCCAGGGCCCAGCACAGCACCATACTTTTCGGTGCAGGCAGGGCTGGTTTTGAGAACTGCAGACGGCAGAACTGACTGCAGAGACACTGTGCGCACACATGCACGCCCGCGTGTGTGCAAGAGCTAAGTGTGAGGGCAGAGCTGCTCACACTGGCGAGCAGGAGAGTGAGCCGAGCACACTCAGCAGCACGACCTGGGGCAGAGATGCACAGACCCACCTTTCCACAGGTCCACAGATGACAGATGCCAGTCCCTGATGCCCCTGCTCCTCTGCTAGCACACCCAGGACATGGGCACACCCAGGAGGCTACCTCGCTGCCCTTTGGTGAGCCCTAAACCACTACCCCTTCTCTCCACCAAACTAGCCTACTGGGAAGGACATTGATATATACGTGTTTTTTACCTGTAATTGATTTTTTCTTTTGTTTTCCAGATTCATGGGAAAATTGACTTTTGGTTTTGGTCTTGTTACCATTTTTACAAATCTCCTTGAAGAGAAACAAAACAAACATGTTATTCATTCTAGGAGACCGCTTCCCGTCTGTCCCCAGTGGGCGCAGGGCTGGAATCATCCCAGCGACATAGAGAAGGCTCGGTAGATCTGAGCGACCCATCAGAGATGCTGAGCTAGGCAGGGCTTAGGCGACGACCCTGAGGCTTAGCAGCGAAATGGCGCCAGAGGTTTCTTCTTTCTACCTCCGCGTAAATCTTCACTTCTGCTTGTGTTGCCTGCCCTGAAAATATTTTCCTCCAAATGCATAACCGTAGGTTCGAGCAGCTTGAAAGCATTCCAACACAGCCCTCAAGGGATCATCCCGGCTGTTGGGGCGGCAAGGACAGAAAGGGACATACGGCTCTCCGGTGCCGGGCCTCCTCCTGGCCGTTGCTGTCACTGGACGAGGTCTGGCTCATGAGGTGCTCGTGGGACCCGTTGCTGCCCAGGCTCCCATAGCCACTGGAGCCGCTGTGGGGCACAGGCTGCGGAGAACAGACACAGTGTATGGACACGTGGGCACCGCGTCCTCCCCAAAGGCGTTGCAGAGAGGGCAGCGCCTATGTAAGGTGGCACAGGGAGACCTCCTGCCCTCTACTCCAGGGTCGGGCTACAGGGCAGACTCCTGGCCTCTACCTGAGGTGTCCAGTTGAGGAGACACCCTCAATGAGGATTTGCTCAACCTACCCATCAGCACACACCTGTGGCCAGCCACAGTTCTAGTGGGTTTCAAAACCAAAACTTCACACAGGCACTGCTAGGCTCTGTGGCCTCCAGCAGAGGCCCAGGCATCTCCGTGGTGGTGCCAACAATGCCATACTGCTCTTTCTGAATGGCAACGTTCTGCATGCCCCGCTGCCGGCGCCTGGCCTTCTGGCTAAGCTGTGCCTCCACCATGAGGGTCGTGTGCACCGAGAGGCCAGGCTGGAGCTGGTCTGGGTCTGGGGTCCTCCTCCCTCTGGCTGCTGGCTCCTACACAGATGCTCGGTGGCAAGGCTGGGAAAAGCTCAAGGGTGTGTGTGGAGACCTCGGCAGCAGAGACTGTGCCCAACCTGGCCCTCAGGGACGTCCAGGAAAGATGGGTGAGTCATCTGAGTGGGCACTCCACAACCAGGGCACACGGGCCCCAGGGTGGCAGCGAGGCAGGGAGGGTGCAGGTACCCACCCACCTGCAGCAGCAGCCGGTGGATCTGCTCTGTGAGCTCCTGGATGCTGGGGTGCAGGACCTTCTCCTCCGCACACGGGGGCGCCGCGAACACGTCCTCATTCAAAGGGCCCCTGAGTGGTTTCAACGCATCCTGTTGGAAGGGCCCACGGGCCCCTCGGCACGACACCCACACTGCGCCTGATCTCCGAGCCCCACCTCCTCCCACCTGGGCCAGGTAACCACGTCCTCTCCTGCTCCCTCACGGGTGGGTGGCCAGGATTTGGGAGTGCAGCGCAGGGGACACTCACACCCTGACTTTGTGCCTCCCGATGATGAAGGAGATCTTGCGGCTCCAGGGGTTGACGAAGCTGGACCAGCTGGTGTCCAGTGTGATGTACTCCCCGTTCCGGGCGCGGAAGCGGATGGGGGAATAGTCAAAAGGCTGCCCGCTGGACTGCAGGACTGGAGGCGAGAATCCTTGTTAGGGCGGGAGGGGAGCCCGGGAATCACAGGTAACCTCAGGGCATGAGCACTCCTCCAGCCCTGCTTTGGCTCTTGACTGCAACAAGGATGGTTTCCTGTGCCACTGCGTCTGAGGGCTGGCCTTGGTGGTGACATGCGTCGTCCCCTCCCCTGGCTGGCCGGTGCTTCCTAGCCACTGCTGAACGATGTCCCCCTCCCATCACTGAAGCCAAGAATAAAGGCCACACGCCTGAGACCTGGGACGTCCGGCCACAGGGACCCCACATGAGCTCTCCTCTCTCTACAGATGAGGTGCTGGGACTCAGGTGGGGAGCAGGGCATCCCCCTTGCCCGTGTCCTCAGCTATCTAACTCTTCTGAGCTTGTGTAGCAGCAGGGAGGAGCCCCAGGAGCACGCAGGGGAGCGCGACCTACTCTTTCGGTGGATGGCGAGCATCAGGGGCCTGTCGCTGGGGTGCAGCTGCACCAGCACGGGCGTCTCAATCAGGTCTTGAGGTAAGTAGCCCAGGAGGGGGACCGCCCTGCAAGGCAAGGGGACCCGAGCTGAGTGGGGGACACTCTGGAGGACAACTGCCAGAGAGATGGCTGAGCAGGCCGCCTCCGGGAGCTGACTGCCTCCAGGTTCCCCAAGGTCTGGATATGGGCGCCAAGGAAGGGAAAGCCAGTAGTTTGAATCCCAAAGCCACAGGACGCAGGGTCCACGTGCGCCTGTGCCACGTACGCAGGAGGTTCTCCTCCTCTGGCCTGCACGCTGTGGCTTGAATGAATCTCCTGCCGAACCAATTGTGGAACATTTTTGGACTTCTCTTCGTAAGGTCTTTTCTCTTCTCTCGCATCCTCCATCAGGCCGGCCACACGTGGCCTGCTATCTAACTGACTCTGCCCTGAAGGCCCTCTCCAGGTGGGTCCAACTCAGGAAGTCTTGTTGCTGGGGTGGCCTCGCCTAGTCCTCCAGCCCGGCTGGTGAAGGAGGTCGCCAGGGCCTTGGTGTGGCGGCTCAGGCCTTCTCCAGTGCTCAGCTGCTTCTGGGGCCCGCGTCCCTCAAGTGGGTGCGTGGCTAGGGAACAGCCCCTCCACAGGGCCTCAGCGCGCCGGGCCTCCTGCAGCTGTTTCCCCCGCTCTTCCTCTGCCACGCAAGGACACCCTGCTGAGTCTTCCTTCCCGGTGGTGCAGAACTGGCTTGTGGGCCTGGTGTCACCCTGACTTCCTCCTCTCACTCCTGTGCTTGCCTCAGGCAGGGAGGACACAATGTCCCTGGCACCCTCCCAGGTCACAGTCCGCCTGGAGGAGCAGGAGGGGAGGAAGGCGGGGGAGGAGGAGAAAGAGGAGGGGCGAGGAGGGGCCCAGGACGAGGCAGGAGACCACAGGCCCCGGGAAGACTCCAGAAGAATAAAACTCCTGGGAACACTGGCCAGCGCAGCTCCTGACTCCACCCTGGTCCTGGTGCTCAGGCAGGGCAGGCGAGGGCCACACCCGGAAACTCTCCACAGAACTTCTCCAAGGTGGCTCTGCAGAACACTCCCGAGCCAGCCAGGCCAGAGGGCACGGCCGCCCGGCTGCTGGCAGAGCACGGAGTCCTCACAGGCAGGTGGCCTGGCTCAGTGCAGACAGAGGGAAGCCCGGAGCCTCCAAGCATCGAGGAGGGGACCTGGCCTATTTTAGGAGGCCCAGGGTGCTGGTCCCTTTTGGCCCTGCCTGTGCTGCTTCCCAAGGACACCCCTCTGTCCCTGCAGCAGCTGTGGGGCTTCACGTTTTCACACCTCTGAGGAGGAGCTGGAGAGGCTCTCAAGGGGGCACAACTGGCACGCAAGCTGGAAGGCCCTGTGAGACCCTGCTAGGCGGCTGCAGCTTCGACCCTGATGTGGGCCCTGGGTGCCCTACCCCTTCTGTCTCAGACCATGAGCACAGGCTTTCTGGAAACCCCCACTGACACCGTGTGTGTGTGTGTGTGCGCGTGTGTGTGTGTGTGTGTGTGTGTGTGTGTGTGTGTGTGTACCAGAGGTTGGACCCGGAACTTTAACCGAAGGCTACATCTCTAGTCCTTTTTTATTTTTGAGACAGGGTCTCAGGAAGCTGCCCAGGCTGGGCCTAAACTTGAGATCCTCCTGCCTCGGGCTCCCAGAACATTGGGATTGCAGGTCTGCTCAGCTACACTCAACATAATAAGTAAAAGGAGCACACTATCAAGTAGTGATAAGAGTAGCATGACTACATAAACCGGTAGCATACCTGCTTACCGTCATTAGCAAGTATTATGCACTGTGTGTGTTATACTTTTGCAGGACTGGGAGTGCAGTGGGTTTGCTTACACCAGCATTACCACAATCACCGCACTTCCTTGTGTCACACCCTCACAGCAGCTATGTCTTCCCTTGGTGACCGGAATTTGTTTGCTCCATCATGAAAGAACTGAGACGAGTCATGCCCACGTACAATTCCCCATGTTGAATGTAATCATGTACTGCAAATATGTACTAGTAAAAGTAAAAACTTAAAAAACTCATTTTGGGACCATCATCGTATACACAGCCGCCACTGGCTATGCAGAATGCGGCACAGGGTCCATATAGTCAGTATTTCTGCCTATTATGTAGGTGAAATGCACACGCCACCCTGCTGTAAGTCCAAACAGCCCTCTGAGGTTTATTTAGCTGTTACTAAGTAACTACCAAGGGCGTCTCGAGCGACCTGCCCGTGTAAAGATCCCAAGACATGCAGCAGGAGGGGCTGGGCCACGGGCGTGCGACACCACTCACCTCTCATCCACGTCCTGGAACAAGCAATTCGGCGTGTGTGTCGTTGTAAAAATTCTCTTCTCAGGAGGAATCCTCGGGGCTGAAAGAACAGAATTTTGCACACTTCGGATTCTCAGAAGTAGTTATGTTACACTCTCTAGAAAACTCCAGACGGTTTCAGGGCAACAGGCGGCGATGGAGCTCGGGCGCTGAGCCCACTGCCGGCAGGGCAGGGCAGACGGAGGCCATGACCCCCACCACGGTGCCCCTGCTCCACAGCTAGCCTGCTCAGCAGGACCCCCACGTTCACGGGACCACGGGGCCGTGCGGGGTCTTCTCAGCAACGCTGTGCGTGCTGACCACGTTCAGTGTTTTAATGTGAAGCGGGAGTGCACATTTGGACTCAAGAGTCCTCAGCAAGTGCCGCTGCGGTGCAGAACTTCAGTTCTAAGGCAGCTCAGCAAAAGTGACAGCGTAATTCGATAAAGTAAGTCATCTATCCACAAATGTCTTCAGCTGCGGAACTCCAAAGTCTCTTATTCTTGGAGACTGGTCACTTGGGGGAGTAACATGTTGAAATCTAGGAGGTCCCTCTAAACCCTTACTGCGTGCTCAGAGGGAGTGCTCCACACCGGGCTTCTCTGAACTCTTACTGCGTGTTGAGAGGGAGTGCTCCACACCAGGCCTCCCTGGGCACGGGGAAGAAAACCACGCGCTCGCTTTGAAACGCTTTTCTTTCCCTGGCGAGAGTGCTTTGTGGGAATCGTTGTTGGCCTCTCAGGGGCATGGGCAGCCCAGTGACCCAGGCTATGGGGGCTCCTCCTAAACCTGCTCCCAGAGAGGCCGGGTCCCTGGATCACGGGGCCACGACTGCGGCAGATCCAACCACTGCAGTGTCACAGCACGGTAGCTTGAGAATCACAGAATGATGCCACATAGGGGCCCAGCACTACGGGTCCTCTGGGCTGTGAGGGAAGGACCTGCACCTGTTTCGGGCGGAAGGCCAAGCTACAGCGAGCATGGGCAGAGGAGCGGACAGGGTGAAGGCTGGGGCGAGATCACACTGCACTCCTGGGATCACCGGGAAGCTAGTGTGGGTGGGCAGGAAGAAAAACCCAGGGGATGGCGGGGCAGTGGAAGGAGGTCGCCAGCACTTTGTATCTCAGGGGCCGAAAAGCCCAGGGCACCTAGACGAGAGAGGCGCCAGGACTGCTCTCATTCTGCAGACAAAAGGAAAGCGGCCAGGGGAGGGCCGCAGTGAGACCCTGGTGTCACTTTTGCCTGCCCAGTGGGGATGCGAAGGGCGTGCGCTGAGCTCAGGGAGGATGGAGGCCAGCGCTCACGGGGCGAGGCAGGTGGACAGCCCTGCTGTCCCAGTGGCCCAAGCGTGGCCAAGGGCAGGGCTTACCCTCGTAGCCTGAGTGCACCTTCTCCGCCAGCAGCAGACAGCACAGCTGGCTCTCGGCTCCCAGCGGCTCCTGCACCTTGACCAGGTAGGGCGTCATGCGGAACGGCTGGTAGCAGATCTCATCCTCATGGTTCTTACCGACACTGTGGGCAAGGAGGGCGGAGGTTGGAGTCCCACGGAGAGCCAGTCCTCGGCTGCTGCTCGGCCACTGTCCTGGGCAGCTCCTCGTGGCACCCAGGGCACATGGGAGGTGGCGAGCACCTGGGCCTGTGTTGCTGGCCCACCCCATGCCTGGGCCCAGTCCTTCGGACCAGCACAGGGAAGCGTCCATGCCTGGCCAGGAGGAGGTCTCCTGAACGACGTGCACTTGGACCAGGGAAGCTGCCCCTGCTGTGGGGTCCTGAGCCCCAGGAACTGGCCCAGGGTCATTCCTGACTGGATACCCATCCGGTCACCCTGTCCTGCACCAAGAGCCTACTGGGAAACTGTGGGACTCTGACCGGAAACACAAGCAAACCAAAAGCTGCATGTGCACAGCCCCGGGGCACACCTTCCCTGGCCATGTTCCTGGGGTGCCACTGTCCACAAGGAGCAGGGAGCCCACCATCAGCTCTTCTCTTAGCACCTTGTGTGCATTTGAAGCACACTGATAGAGTGAGTTTCCACAGTCACTGCAGGGCTGGGCCTGCTGGGCCTGCACAGGGCTGAGGGCAGTGGACACACGCACCCTCGGCTCCTCCACAGGCACCGTGGGGCGAAGCCGGCACCGCGCTCTTGGTCAGGGGACCCAGACTCACCTGACACGGCAGAAGAAAGACTTCTCCTCCATGCATTCCTGAGTGAAGGAATCTGGAAGAAACAGCCCCATGTCACCCACCCGTCGGAACAGGTCTGAATAGACAGCCCACTCCGCTTCTCTGCGGGAGGAGGAGCAGGCTGGACGCTGGGGAAGCTGCTCCCTTGCCAGGCACGGGGGAGCCCCACGTCAGAAAGCTTTCACTGCCTACTCCTTGTTATGTGAAACATACTGCAGCAGCATGCCGAACACTGCACTATGCAGGGCTAGAGCATTAAAGCCAGGAGCGGAGCATTTTGGAAATGGCCCAGGAGGCCCACTAGTGCTTCCCCCTGGGGCACACAAAGAAAGCCCTGAGCACCTCAAGCTACCTATTTTGGGGGTATTCAGTTAGAACAGAAACAACTCAAGGCTTGCACCAGCACTCTGAAAAATATTAACTTACTTTAAAATTTAAAATGTTTAGTAACAACCTGAGAGAGATGTTTCAAGAGAGTGTGAAGACATTTTAAAAAAGGAATCCTAGGCTCTGCTTATTCACGCTTACGAGTTGAAGAAGGGGACGTGCAATGGCTAGCTGGGACAAGGCCTCTGAGAATCCACCCAGGTGCCCCTTTCGTTCAGACTATGATTTGGATGTCACCATGGTGGCGGTGGGGGACAGCGTCACCCCCTTCCATGGTGAGTCCACTGGCAGAGCGACACCTTTCTGCTGAGCAGCCTGACCGTGCCTACACCCTCTAACTCACTGAAAATGCCCATGGTCTGACGGACGGCCCGGGTTGCCCTTGGGGAGGAGAGGGCACCACCCTAATCCATAGAGTGTGCCTCCTCTTTGTGAGGCAGCCCCCCAACACACCGCACAGTCGCCGGGGATGCCTGCTCATGGGGTGCAGCTGCCAGGCTGGTGGGGAAGAGGGCAGCATCCTGCCCGGCCCCCACTGCTGGTGGAATGGGAGTGGTGCTGGCGCTCGTGGTCCCTGGCCTGTGAGTGCCCCCACCCCCGGTAGGCCTTGTAGGAGAAATGGCGATGATTCCAGGTGCCCAGGCCAGGAGTGGCGCTCGGCCAAGATTCTGACCACATCCAGTTTGACTCGGGCAGCTCTGGCCCTGCCCTTTGCTCTGCGTCTCCCCGGCTGGTCAGCAGCTCTGGATCCTCGGTTCACCTTCAGCTCCGATAGTTGGAGCCCAGAAGGGACGAGTGGCCATCCGGTGCAGAGAAGTGTCACAGGCTTCCAGAGGGACCTTCTGCTGGCTGCCCCGGTCAGTGAGCGCACAGAGGCGCAGGACAGGCTGGGCGGCCGGGCGCACCCCTCTCCTCTCCAGGACCCCACCGGTCTGACCCTCACAGGCCCTCCGCACTCCTGCTCAGAAAGGCTGCGCTGGTCGAGGCAGCGGGGATTGGAGCCCTGAGACTCAAAGTCTTCCAACCAAGCCAGGGAAGAAGAAAAAGGCATAAGGTTTAACCGCAAGAACCCAAGGCCAGGAGGCAGGAGAGGGGCCCGCAAGGCGTAGTGGGGGCAGTTGGGACGGAGGCCGCCAGCTCAGGTGGCCCCTGGCTTGGACGGCACCCGGGACTGTTTTTCTTCATTTAACTGAACATCTGAGCCTAGGAGGTGTTTTTTCTCACTTTTATTCTTTTCTGAGCACTGGGAATTGAACCTGGGGTGCTCTACCACTGATCTACACTGTAGCTTTTTTTTTTTTTTTGAGATAGGCTTACAATAAGTTTCTCAGGAGGGACCTGCACTGGTGGTCCTCCTGCTTCAGCCTCCTTCAGTGCTGGGGTTTCAGGTGTGCACCACCATGCTGGGCAAGACCCGTGGTTTATGAAGAATCCAAGTCTGCTTGGGCTCACAGCTCTCAGGTGCGAAGTCCAAGGTGCGGGGCCGGGGCCTGCTGGGCACAACAGTGCACGCCCAAGATATGACGGGGCAGCCCCGCTTCAAGCTGGCCAGGTGCCCCGCGGGACGGACTTGGCCCGGCACAGTGAGAAGAGCGCTGTGAGAAGGGCGCTGATGCCTCCTGACAACTCAGCCACCTCTTAAAGACCCCCTCCCAACAAGCCGCACACCTACGCGGTCCAAGAAAACTCAAGTCCTGCTCAGAACACCCAGTGCAACCCCTCAGACCACAGCCCTAGTTTACACGTGTTCCAGCGCCAACTCAAAATCCCAAGGTCCATCTGTGAGCCTGTGAAGCTGAACACGCACCCTACGCCAGTACAGCAGCAGGGCAGGTGCCAGGGGACATGCCCGGCCCGAGCACGTGAAACCTAGAGCGCCGATGTCACACCTTAGGCCACAGGGTCCTCCTGTACGCCACACGCCACCTCCTGGACACGGGGGCCTGCTGGTCCCCCAGTCCAGGCCACCCGGCCAGCAGGGCTCTGCTGGTTCCATCCACATTCAGCGCTCACAGGCTGGGGCTGCACACGATGGCTCTCACAGGTGGTGTTTGACGACACTGGTGGCCCTACCTCCTGCAGGCACTGAGGGGAGACTGGCAGCGCTGCACCATGGCAGGCATCTATCTGCCTGGGCCTGAGGGATCCTGCAACACCTTCTTTGGTTGCAGTGCAGGAAGCCACACCTCCTGGAGGCGCAGCACCAGCTGCACACCGCAGGGGGGTGGGGGCTCACCCTCTGGAGCCCTGGGCAGAGCTGTGACAAGGGCTGAGCTCGGGTGCAGGGGCAGGGCCCGAGGTGCTCCAGGTAGTGAGCTTTTTCTCCCCCGGCCTCAGAGGCTCCCGGAAGCCTCCGCCCCGCTGTGCAGATGGACGGCAGCTGCTCTCTTAGCCGTTCTCCAAGGCGCCTGCGCCCCTCCGCGCTCACTGCTCCACTCTGCACCACGCGAGCGTCGGCTCTGCCTTGAGTGGAAACCTTTCTTTCCATCACCGGCCTCGCCCGTCTCACCGCATGCAGCTAAGCCAGTGCGGGGTTGCTTGGGCATTTCTTCTACCAGAACCCCGGTTCCTCACACGAGCTCCGCCTTTCACCAGCCCAGGCATGAGCAAGATTTTGCCAGAGTCCCTGCTAGTTCACCGCAACTACAGCTTTATCCTGGGTCTCGGGATGACGTCCTCCTCTGCCACGCACACTTTCGTCGATGCCGCTGCTCTGGGAGGCGCTCCCGCCCTCCTCATCCCCATCTTCTCCTGAGCCCGCCCCAGGAGCCCCCAGGGCTCAGGCAGTCCCAGAGTCACTTCAGAGCTCACCAGCCACCACCAGTTACTCATCCCCAAAGCTGCTTCTCCGTGGTGAGGAGAGCTGCACCAGTGCCCCATGCCTTGGGCCTCATTCCTTAGTGCGTTTAGGCTCATCCAGTGTACGGTTCTGGAGGCCGGGAGGTCCAAGGGCACAACACCAGCACCTGTCCAGCCGCTGGTCCCACCCAGGGCAGAGGAGACACACAAGGGGCAGCCTCGCTTTAGGACGACACACTCCTTGGTTCTGATCCAGTCCTGAGAGAGGGAGAACTGGGCCCGGTTGAAAGGCTCCAATCCCTCAAGGCCACACCTCAACACCCCAAGGCCACGTCACCTGTCTCAGAAGGGGCCAAGTCATAGCTGAACCATAGCAGGTGGCACGCACGAGCGCAAGACCCATCAGCAGCAGGCAGAGGCCGGAGGCGGCCACGCCCAGAGCTGCCCAGGGGTGGGAGACAACAGCTCACTGCTGAGACTGGGAAGCGAAGCCTGGACATGAGGGGCACGGGGCAGTGGGCGCTGCCCGCGCAGGTCCCGGGAAGGTGCCACCCAGTGCACAGACGAGCAGTCTGCACTGCCCCGCAAGTCGGTGGCTTGCACCCAGAGGACTTCACAACCTGGTCTCCCAGAGCTGCCCCAAAGGTGATGAGCCCGAGAAGTCACCCGGAATGTCCCACACCTGTCCCTTACACTGCTGTGGCCAAAGGGACAGGGCACCTAGCAGATGCCCTGGGTTCCCCCTACTGTGTGTCCAAGGTGCCGCTCCCTCACAACTTCGTTTCTGAAGTGCTGGACACTTCCTGAAATCTCACCTCTGAAGTTTACAAAAAGGCTATTTTTTTTTCCCTCTAAATTTACTCTGAAGAGATGAACAACTGTTTACCTTTCACCTCTGACAGCAGGGCTGGTCCCTGGCAGAGTGAGTGGAGAACCAGCTCCGGGTCCCCACCCTATCTGAAACGCCTCCCTCTGAGCACAAGGCACACGCGGGGCTCGGGCTCACCGACTCCGCCGCACACGCTCCAGGACGGAAGCCTGCAGGGGGTGGTGGAGCTGTGGAACACGCTGACGTCGTGGGGCGCCAGGAACTCCACAAACTTGGCGTCGCTGAAGGTGTCCCGCTTGCAGTGAAATATGGATGCCACTTGGCTAGAGATGTACAGGATCTTCCCCGAAACCAGGGACACAGCCACAGCAAACATGTCCTGGAAAGGCGGATAGCACTCAGGTGTTGCGGAGTGGGTGGAAGGCGAGGCAGGCGGGGAAACCGGAAGGAGCGGCCACAGAAGCTCAGGGGTCTCTGGGGCCCTGGCCTCAGCCCTGACACGCACAACTCCACTCTCCCTGTTCCAGATATTGGGGTGCAGCATGACGGCATCTGAAGCAATGCATCAGGAGCCCTGGTGTCCTGACCTCTGTCGTCTCGGGGTTGAGTGCAGTGGAGGGCAGCCCCCCACTTACCTGGCTGCTCACCCCGGCCTCTGCCAGCCCTGCTTTCTCAGGGACCTGGGGCTGTCTGCAGGCCCTGGGCCAGACGTCCCCTGGTCACACTAGAGCAAGGACACGGGGAGGGCCAGGAGCCTGTGCTGCGGCCACTCTCGCCACAACCCCAGCCCCTGCTGGATCTGGTCCCACTGCCGGAGTGCCTGGAAACCTCCTGTCCCGACCTCACCGAGAAACCTGTGGGCCCTGCAGTCTCTAATCTCAGTGCCCACCGTGACCACGAGGTCTGGACAAGTGGATGGCCACCAAGTCTGTCTCCTCACCCAGAGAACGTGGATACTCGCAAGCTGTGGACAAGGCTGTCCAGGGGTGAGGAGGACAGTGTCACACAGACAGGCAGCGGCCCAGAGCCTGAGGGCGCTCCAGACCCTGGCCTCACCTCCTATCTGTGGGGCCACGCACCATTTCCTGGAACCCGAGCTCCTGCCCTGCGGCAGTGGCTGCGAGGACCGGCACTCGCCCGCCAAGCACCCGCATCATTTAGAGAATGGGCCCTGCAGTCTCTAATCTCAGTGCCCACCGTGACCACGAGGTCTGGACAAGCGGATGGCCACCAAGTCTGTCTCCTCACCCAGAGAACGTGGATACTCGCAAGTATTTAGGCCCATTTAGGAAGAACTCACCGCGTTCTTCCCCATGTACTCAGAGGTGACGCCCTCCACCTGCTCCACAGTGTAGGAGGGCACGTCCACGCTGCAGGGCTGGCTCTCGCTGGACATCAGCAGCTGGTAGTACTCCTCGTTAGCTGCGGGAAAACCACACGCACACTCAGCAGCCGAAGCCCAGAGGGCGGCACAGTCTGCTGGGGTTTCGACCTGCGAGGCCCCCAGCACCTCTGCCCTCATGGGGGGGACCTTCGCCCAGTGATTGGATTTGGGGCCTGGCTGGAAGAGGCGGCACTGGGGCAGGGCCTGGAAGGTTCCTCTCAGTCCCTGGCTCCTGTTTCCTGTGTGCCAGGCCCCCTGCTGTGCTGTCCTGCCTTGGAGCCAGCCTGATGGACTGGAACATGAGCTAAAATAGACGTCTTCTCCTTTAAGGTGTGGGTGCTGGGTGTTGTGTCTCCGCAGCCAGCGAGGAAAGGGACTGGGCTGCTGTCCCTGACTCCTGTGGGCGGGGCTCCATCTCTCTCAAGTGAACAGGGCCGATGTGGACCGTGTCTCCCCGACACAGATGGCCTCAGGAAGTGAGCTGCAGAGCACGCTAACGAGTGGACACGGGGAACCTTCCCCGCTAACCTTCAGAAACACCAGGCCCGGGTTTCTGAAGTTTTTTAAATGGTAAGCACTCTACTTAGGTAACACAGGTGCAGAGTTCTTTCCCAGAAGGATCTGCAATCATGGTGTAACACTGTGTGTCCACATGGCACCAGGGGCAGGGCCCTCAGCTGACCCCGGCTGATCCTATCAGACCCTTCCATCCAGCAGAACCAAGCAGGGCTTAAAGCACCGAGCAAGGCGCAGACCCAACATCTGAAGGAAGGAGCTGAAAAGAGGCTCTGGGCCCTTGCAACCCTGGGCTCATCAGCAGGGCTCTGAGTGACCGAGCTGGTCTCTGGGTGTCGCTGCTCAAGGACCTTGGTGGCCCCTACTCCAGACAGGTGCTAGCTGTCGTCTCCACCGGCCAGCGGCCCCAGGAGGATGGGACCCAGGGCTGTGGTCTGGAGTTTGACCCGGGCCCCCGAGGAGCAAGCGAGGGAGTGTATGTTCCCGTGGTGTGGTGGTGAGGCCTTTGGACCACGGCTGGGTCTCATCAGAGCGAGACTTCTCCACCTTCAGAAACTGGTGGATGTCCGAGCCCAGGTACAAATCAGATGTAAACTGCGGGACAGTGCACACAACATTTGGCAGAACTCCTAGGTTTTAGAGGAGCTGCAGACCCCAAGAATTTCACCCCTGACCAAGAGAGTCACTTGGGACCGAAGATGCCAGCTGCTCGGGCAGCTCCTTCCAGAAAGCTCACAGAGCCATCAGGTGCAGGGTTCCCCACAGAGCACCGGAGGCAGAGTCAGGCCCCCGGGGCCTCATGCAGCGCCTCAGGTCTGACCAGCTCTGACTGGCAGCCAGGGCTGTTTTTTCAAATGAATCTCATGAAATGGACAGTAGGGAGATGAGCAGCCGCCCCAGTCATGAATGAGCACACCCAGCACACCGCACAGTGATACCCGGCTCCAGACCCAGAGACTGGCTCCAGTGAGCTGTTGGCTGCCAGGAAAAGTGGAGGGCTGCCTGCCTGCCCTGACTACCAGGAGGAGCCTTACCCTTCCTGGGGCCAGGCCTCCGCACAGCCAGCCGTGGACAGAACCAGCCTCAGCTTTACCTGAGGTGCCAACTTCCTCTGCTGCAGCACAGAGCTCTCTGCTTTCGCTGGACACAGCCGTGTCTGCGCCCTACTGGTGGGAGGCCAAGTGCAGGAGGAAGATGGGGTCCCCTCAGAGGTGCTGGGGGCCAGCAGGTTTACTAAACGGTGGGTACCTGCACCCTGAGCTGCGTCTCACAGCCTCTGTTCAGAATCCTGCACTGCATCTGTGAGTTCTACACCTGTCCCTGCAGGAGCTTTCATCTTGCTCTTCACTGGCCAGTTCTAAAAGCCTTTCCTAGTCTGCCTTCTGATACAAAGTCCAGACACACACACGTGGGAGCAGGCGCTGCCCTTTGGAGGCCCCGGGACTGCATGTTTGACGGCTAGCGTCACGCCGCCCTGCCTCCTCCTTTCCTGGCTGAAATGGCCATAGGGTGGAAATTCACAGGACTCTAGGCAAAGAAGAAATGAAGTGCCGAGTTTCTGAATCCAAAAGCCTGAGATCTGGCAAGAGCCTGCTTCTCACTCCCTTTCACCTCTCGCGGTAAAGGTGGGCAGGTCCTCAGCTGAGTGGCCCGTGCTTCCACCCTGCCTGCCCACTGCACCTGAGGGGCCGTACGTGAGGATCTTACTGGACTCAGGCCCACACTGACCGTCCTGCAGGACGCCTCACACTCCTGGGCACAGCCTGATGCATCCTGGAGCACAGCATGCATGTGGAGTAGACACCACAGCGATCGAAAGATGCAGTGAAAGTTTAAGCTTTTTTAAAAAAAGAAACCATAATGTAGTAAAAGATAGCATTGCCAAGAGCAGTGGGGTATGGGATACGTGCGCTCAGAGCGAGGGGGGAGATTTGAGGCAACGGCCTGCTACTGTAATATGTGTTTTTAAACGTTCGCTGTATCTTTAGACCACTGCTTGCTAATCTAATGTTTATGGCAATTCCTGCCAAGTAAAATAGGACAGTGTGTCCTCGTGCACCTTATTCTCCAGATCTGGCACTGTGTGACTTCTGGCTCCTCCCCAAAATCAAAATGACCATGGAAAGTAAATGCTTTGCATCAATTCAGACATCAAGGCAGCTACAACAGTGCGGCCCC